AGGTATTTTAAAGAGCACGATGACGACAAGTTGATAGAAATGCACAATATTGTAAAACAAAGGAGACAAGGTAAATGTACTAGTGAAGTCGCTGCACTTTTGCAGCGTGCGTGCTTCTGAATGCATTTCTGTTAAAACCGCTTGTCTCACGTGCTTACAGGCTGTGAAGAGTTGTTCACTCACAAAGTAGGCTCGGGGAGTATCGAGTCACCTTAAGTATGAAAATATTATGCCGTCGCTGTGCTCAGTGTTTTCTGCATAATTGACGAAAGTTGACTAGGTACCTGCCTTCGTATGCACAAGCAAATTACGAGTTCTGACGTTAATTCATCATTGAATATTTTAGTACCACTTTAAGTTAGCGAAGTTCGTTAAAGTCCTTGATTGAGTTGTTTTCCAGCCAAAAGTATCTTGCACTTTCAAAACCAGTCATTTTGAAGTAAGAAATTAATAATTATGAAAAATGAGTTAAAAGTACGTCAGATAAATCATACACATTCAGACACATTGATGTTAATACCTAAGGTAAACGGCTACTAGTTCGTGATAGTACGTAAGTTCGTAAGTTTTTTTTCTAGCTCAAATAATAAGCAAATGGAATATTATTTATAAAAATTCTTTATTACTACAAAAACTCTATTATTTAAGCTATCTAAAAAACCAAGTACCAACATTGTGGCGCCAAAAATGAGAGCAATACGAAGCTTCAAACTCTCAGAGAGCCAAAAACAGCCGTGCGGCGTGAAAATGTTGCTCTCACAGTAAGGTTAGTGCTCCAACTTCTTAAGCTTATAGCAAGGCGAAGAAAGGTCCATTTGCATAAAACTTGTAATAGTGGTTTCATGTGTTCCTTGACAATTGATTTGGCTTAGAAAAAAGTTATATGAAAACGTAGAATTCCTTTAAAATTGCGATTATTTGACTCACGAAATAGCGTACATATTATTTTTCGGGTGTCCCCTGTTTCGTGATACTACCGAATCAAGGATATTATGGATAATATTTTGATGCTTGGTTTTTAAATAATTATTTATGTTAATTGAAATATAAGTTATGAAACAAATAATACATTTATTTAAGTTTCTCATGATCTAAATTCGGTATATGTTTCGTTCACTAGAATTTATATGACACGAGTTTGAAGTTCACATAAATGACCAATTTTAAGATAAATTAGCATAATCGGCTCATATACCCATTTACCTAACACCCTGTATAAATATTTTCACGTATTATTAGAATAATAAATCAAAATTTTATACGAAGGTACGTACCTACCTAGCTAGACAGACTCACATAATTTCTTATGAATATTTCAGGTAGGTAAATAATATCGTCAATTTCACAGAATTCTTTTATTCTAAATTTATACTATCGTTTTAAATTTATTAAACCCTTAATCATTATTAAAATATCCTAACTCGATGCGTAAAACTTTATCCCGAAATAGGGGACATGAGTTCACGAACTTAGAAACAGAGCAAAATTTTATCACGAAACAGGATCCAAACAAGAGGTCCGCAGAACAATTAATATTAAAAAAAGTTCAAACAATATAACTATAATTTATGTATTAAGTTACTGTCAAAAGACCAAAGTTTAGCATACAAAAGCTTTCATACTGATATCATGCTTGGTTATTTTTAAATAAATTGTTAAAGTCGTAAGAGCCTTAATATACCGAAGTAGGGGGCACTTACCTTATTTGTCTTTCTGTTTTTTTTGCTAGTACAAAACTACAAAATTTCAGAAGCTGTCTAGGCATAAAATATGTATTATTTATGTAGGCGACTCTATCGAGATCAAACTTATAAATGGTGATTGGACTGTCCAGTTTATACGTATGACACTAGTTTTTGGCAGCGGCTTCGCCCATGTGAATTTCGTTCTGTCACAAAATATGATGTGTCTTTCTATTGGCAAAATAATTTTCCCGACACCCTCACAAACTCTACCTCTTTATAAAAGTTTCCTGCTGTCGACCTTTATGATGTCGTCGGTCCACCTTGTGGGTGGACATCCCACGCTGCGTTTCCCGGTACGCGGCCTCCACTCCAGAAGCTTGCTGCCCTATCGACCGTCAGTTCTGTTCTGCGTATTATATGCCCTGTCCATTGCCACTTCAGCTTGCTAATCCGTCGGGTTATGTCAGCGACTTCAGTTTAGATCTCCTCATTTCTGATTCGACCTCGTAAAGAAACACCGAGCATAGCCCTCTCCATATCACGCTGTGCAACTTTGAGCTTCTGTATAAGGCCTATAGTGAGAGGCCACGTTTTCGAACCGGTCATCACTGGTAACACACATTGGTTGCAGACTTTAGTCTTCAGGCACTGAGGTATTTTGGACGAAAAGATGTTGCGTAGTTTCCCGAACGCTGCCCAGCCGAGTTGGATTCGAGGATTGACCGCTTTCTCGAAATTGGACCTACCTAGCTGAATCGTTTGTCTGTCAACAATCTCGAGAATTGAGCTCCCAACCGAAACTTAACTTTATAAAATTAGTAGAGATTATCACGAGTAGGTATACCAGAGGCACTAGAGCATGTTCAACTACTTAAGTAATTTTCTCAACTTTTCGGGTACGAGAAAAATGATTTCGTGTCAGTCTAGGTTTTACGAACCTTCCGTGTGCAGAGTACCCACCCGTAACTCACAATTGAGTAGGCCGGGGGCTGTCGAGGCATTATCTCGGACCACGCTGAAGGGGACCTCTTGAAAAACGCTCACAAGTGGGGGCTGGCAGGGCGTTTGCCTGGGCCCATTCTTTGGAGAGCCGCTCCCGGTACTTTTCTGATCAGCAGAGCTGACTGAGTGGCGGCATAGAGCAGAACCAGCTACCAGCTAACCAGCGAGTCATAACCTGAGACGGAGCCGTGGACGAATGTCCAAGTTAGGACAGTAACTCGCGGTTCCGTTTCATTGGGCTCCGGTGGACACCCACCATCGAGTTTTAGGGGAGAGTCCCACATTAAACCCACTGATCGTCCCCTTCGGCCATGCGCGAAGAATTTCCTGACGAGACTATAGCTCTTGTCACGGCTCTTGTCTAGTACCTATCTACGAAGATGTAGGATATGGAAAAATGCAGTTTTTGTTGGTTGATGCTCAGGTATATTCAACAGTTTGTACTACTTTTACAGGCACATGTAAGACTTGCACAGATAAGAATAATGATAAAAGGGGTATTATCATCACTGTCTTTACACTTTCATCAAAAGTATTTCACAGATGTAGTTTCTAGCTAGATGATAAAAGAAGTATTTTGTTTAGGAAATTTAAGAATTATGAAACTCCTATGAATGAAACCTTTGTATCGATTTCTGTTAGAAATGAGGGTTGAAACTTGGTTGAAACAACCATCAATTTAACGAAATTTCTTTCCTGTGACATTGGTCTAGTCCCATTCGTTCGTTTCATCCAAATGACGTTCTGGACAAATCTCAAACTCATTTCAGATCATTTCAAATGGTGTTCAGGTTCTTTAGAGGCTGGTTAACAGAAGGACAAGCACTGATGCTCACAACTGCTGTAATAGGAATCTAAGAGCAACTCCAACCACATTCCTAAATAAGGGTAGATCAAATTATTGTATTAGAATCGCGACTTAACATTCGATTTTTAGCGCGGGCTCTAACTTGCTGACTGGATCGAAAGCGTTAGTATAGTAGACTACGCTAGGGCTGGCATAGGGCAATAGGCGTAGGCGTGGGGGCGCCCTCGCCTGCATTGCACAGGCCACCACCACCGTCGGACGTGAACAGCTGTGTGCTCCTAGCTGCTCCCGTCGCCCCCCGTCCTGGGGGGCCTGTAGGGCCTAGGGAGGCACTGTGGTAGTGAAGGCTTTGTCCGGAATCCCACAGTTCCTTCAATCTTAAGGCGAATGACGGAGCACCGGGGTCTTTTTAGTGGGTATGCCTTAGTCCTTCTGACTTGGTGAGGCCCACATAACCTACCCTGTCTCCGCAGGGTAGGTATGCAATTCAATGCATGTTTTCCCCGAAAAAAAAAGGCAATAGGCCCCCACCCTCTATACTTTTGATTGATGAATTTACTCTAGTCTTGGCCAGGCAAGCAAGACTGAATGGAGTTAAAAGGCAGTTTTTATGAAGTAGGCTCAGCTCTCAACTTTTCTGAAGTTTTAGTTTAAGAATAAGAATTTATTTATTATTTATAATATTTTAATTTATTTAATTTTCATACTAAACATCACTTTATAACAGTGTTCAACTAGGGTGTAACTTTTTATTAATAAGGGGGTCAATGTTTTAACATAAAATTTTAATTATATTACAAATCAAGAAAACCTGAAATAGTATGATAACTCAGTGATGATTTTGATATTTCATCAATGATGTGAAATGTAGTTGATGGCTGATGTTGAATTTTTCGAGCATATTCAGTGATGTGCCTTGAAGGAAGCCTTGACCAGATATGAATTGATGATGATGATGGTTGTTTATTTGTTTGTTATACATTCAAAGTAAATTAAAGGAAAACACTAAGGAGTTTTGATATTACCGACATTAAAATACTTAGCTGGTGGAACCCTATACGGGTTCGCATGAGACCATGGTAACAATTTATTTCTATTGTTTATTGATTAGCTGATACTCAAAGGGATAAATAATATGAACGAACAAGCACAAAATTATTAGGGCATACTTTTTCTAGCAGATAAACTAAATAAAATTGATGGAATACAAACAAAGATAATAAGAAATGAATGTTTTAAGACAAACTGAATAGATATCATAAAATTAAACTTTTTAGTTAGCTTACAAACTTAACTATTGTTACATTTTAGCTTTAAACATAACTTATAATAGAAAATAAGAACGCAACAGCTAGTAGACAGTGTTGTAGACAATCGAAGAAGGATTAAAGGGTTGTTACAGTATACCAATAGTAAGTTTTCTGACAGACTAATTTACTTTTTGCCTTATATGAAATGAAAGTTAGGCCTTTTCTATTAAAAATGCTTACATTTTATAGACTTACCTGTTGTATCTGCTGCATACGATGTAAACTGTAGGATGCATGTCGAAAACATCACAATATACGCCACACAAAGTTTATTTGTATTCATTTTGAACAATCGCTCCATTTCTTCCATGACACGATGGGAATCCACTGCCCAGTTTTAGTACACTTTGTTTTTTAGTTTTTCGTTAGTAAAATTCTGCAGTACCATTCCCAACTGGTTGCTAGGTTCCATGATTTCACAACAATCAGTTCAGTAGCACCTGTAGGAATACGCGACACACAACCAAGCAACTAAATTATGTGAAACGGACAAGGTACCATTTACTTACAAGTTCACTCAACTTTGTATGTATTTTATACAGTATTACAACGCTATAAATCACCGTGTAACTGTAATATACGCACTTTCAATTATATTTACGGTAAGTTAGGCAATATTATTTCAGTTAAAAGTTACATTGCTAAGTTTTTAGAAGCTTCGAAAGTTTGTGGAAACTTCACTCCACAAAACATTTACTTGAAGGACGCGACGAGCGTGCGTACAAGTCAAGCACAATGAAATATTATGTGCCGTTCATTCACTCACATGAACGAATGGAGTGGATTATTCTCCATTCATTCTTTCCGGCTAGTGATGTGATAAAACTCATTCAAATACCGGTTACCGGTTCATTGCGATAGCCACTAAAATTGGTGGACATAATTTTTTATTTTGCTCTACAGAATGAACAAAAACATTTTTTGTTGAATGTTGTCATGTTTTTGTTCATTGTTAAGGCAAAATACGCTCTGAAGATGCGGATTTAAATTACAAGCAGAATCCATACAATACAAAACTGATTTTTACGGTATTCAAATGAAATTATGGTGATCTTTTTACAAGTGATTAAATTTTTAAAGGACGTTTCATTTAGGTCCAATGTCAACATCGATAGTGACATTTAAAAAAAGTAAAAAGTTTTAAGGTTGGCAACATTACATAAATGTCTCTTTTCGACGATCTTGTCATTTTAGATTGTTGAGGCGGGTTTTAAATCCTAGGTAATCGTCGATATTTATATTGTTTTATAGTGAAATGAATTCATTCTGGTAAAGCAATATTGTGTTAATGCTACACTGCGTGTTATTTTAATCGGACTATACATAAATAGAGACTTGTGCCGTGATAACCTTACTATCAATGCAGTGTTTTGATGTTGGACCGTGGTATTAGTTTAGCGATTTAGTTCAAAGTTCTTTACTTTATTCTTTGTTATTTCAGCCATGGTGCGTATGAACGTATTGAGTGATGCGCTGAAGTCTATTCACAATGCTGAGAAGCGCGGCAAACGACAAGTCCTCATCAGGCCCTGCTCGAAAGTTATTGTTAAGTTCTTGACTGTGATGATGAAGCATGGCTACATTGGTGAATTCGAAATTGTTGACGACCACAGAGCCGGCAAGATTGTCGTTAACCTCACAGGAAGATTGAACAAGTGTGGGGTTATTTCACCTCGTTTTGATGTACCCATCAATGACATAGAAAGATGGACTAACCTCCTTCCATCTCGACAGTTCGGGTAAGTCATCATCATCATATTCTTGTTATAAAATTTCATCATAATATGAAGCTTATGTGAATAATCTTCCTCTACGAAGATACTTCAAATTGGCCCGTTTCTGCTGTAACTTATATGTTATCAGTGACAGGGAAGGCTTATGAAAAATGAGTTTCAATGTGTAGGGGTACAACCTTTTACTAGTATTGCAATAGATATGTAATACCACTGTTTGTCTCCACACTAGGGTAGTTTACCTTTGTTAATATTATTTTATGACCCAAATCAGATGTTTATGTTTCTACAAAAATGTGCATTGACTTGCATTAAAACACCATGTTTGATGCTAGCAAACATACTTAGGTACTTGATAGATGGATGGGCATTTAGTTAAATTTATTAAAAGTTTTGTGAAACAAGTTTTACTAATTCCTTCTACTACTTAGTTTATTAAGGTTTTTAACACATTGAATTTTGATTTGTGTTGAGTGATAAATACCATGCAGTTTCCATATTACATTAGAATTTTATTGGTTTTCTATGCACAGCCACCGCGGATCACCAATAGTTCTTGTTGGTTGTCATTTGAAGTGTTGTGCTAAAGAAATTTTAAAATTGCACTATTTGATGTCACTTTTATAGTGAACATTGTAAGTGCTTTTTTATACATTTTCTTTGTAATATACAAACATCCTGTATATTTAGGCAGTCTTTACAATTCACTGAAAATATTTATCTGGAAGTCTCAAGTTTTAAAGTTCCTCTTGCTTGTGAACATAATTTAAGATCTCCAAAAACTTCATAATTAAGCATTAATCTTTAAAAAAATATTTGTTTATAACTTGTTCTGATGCCATATATGTAATGTAACAAACTTCAATCCATGCTCATAGTTTATTTTATTTGGTTTCAGATATCTCGTGCTTACCACCAGTGGTGGTATCATGGACCATGAAGAAGCCAGAAGGAAACATCTTGGAGGAAAAATTCTAGGTTTCTTTTTCTAAGTTTATTCAATACATTTAAGAATGTATTCTGAAGTTTTATTTTACCTTATCAGCATTATATTAATTTAAATTAAGCAATTTGACACTGACACCTAATGGTGCAAATTTAGGCTGAGTTGCATCACCATTCACCTTAACTTTAACAATAACTTTATCTAACTAACCAGTGTTTTTGTATGGAATTTGACAGACTTGACTTTTGTTACTGTTAAAGTAAGATGGTGCAACCCAGGATTAATTATCAATTTACTTTAGTTTACTTAGTTATAAATTTTTATAAACTTTTCTTTAATATTTCTATACAAAAAGATTAAATTACATTTGTTTGGTGGCATGGATACAGAAAAAAAAAATGATTTTCATTAATATACTGCCAGGATGTTGGATCCAGGTGTAAAGGGAAATTGTGTATCTACACTGATCTACACTAATATTATAAAGAGGAAAACTGTTTGTTTGGTTGTAATGAATAGGCTCAAAAACTACTGGACTGTTTTTAAAAATTCTTTCACCATTCGAAAGCTACATTATCCACGAGTAACATAGGCTAAATTTTATTTTGGAAAAGAATAGGGTACCGTAAAATATGTAGATAATGTATTCCACGCGCGCGAAGCCGCGGGCGGAAAGCTAGTAGTTAAATAATTTATTATCTGGAATGCAATGCATCGTTAATATACTATTGATCCAAGCATTGGTCCTATTGATTGAATTGATTTTTGGATTGATTCAAATGAGAAGTAAAAGATAATTTAGACTTGCATTGATGTATATGTTTATTAAACAAAATAGAAAACAAGTATTTTCATTCACACAGTGCCAGCTAGCCCCAAAGTCAGTAACTTCATGCTTGAGTTATGGGTGCTAGCTTAACGGATATACCTCTTATATACTTTTTTAAAAATAAATACATATTAAACATAGTAACGCCCAGAGCCGTCACAGAAATTAAAATTCATCATTTCAATTTCTGCCCGGCCGGAACTCGATCCCGGGACCTCTCGGCGTAGTAGTATGTTTTGAACCACCACACCAAACGGCTAGCAGTTACGGCAAAAATGTGTCTCGTTCTCGTTATAAAGATAGAAATAAAAATATGTACTTCCATATGATACAGTCGACAGCACGTCAACGTAAACACTGTATCTTAGTTACGTAGTTGCGATTGGGGCGACTGCAACTAATATTTATAGTCTGATTTGCTGTCGACTGTACATACCTACTAAGATTTACATAGGTAATACTTAGCAAGCAGCTTGCAGAACTTTACACATTACTAGGTACTGAAAGTGCTAGACATGAACGCCTTACAAGAGAAAATAGCAATTGATTCGATCAGAGCATTTTGCATTCGCATACAAAGTGCAGTGGGTAGAGACACCTGCCGAACGTTCCACTATATGTACTCGTATGTGGCTTGTTATAATAAGTTGACAGACGAATGATTCAGAATTATGCCAAAAGCCACATTATTTCAGCTGTGTCATAGGTTAAAAGTTATGTGCGTTTATAGCCGAATTTGCACTGAACACAATTTTCAGCGCTGCTCTAAGTTAGGTAGAGATACCACCGTAAACTTAGGTATTGATTTGCTATAAAATATAGAAATAGAAACCTTCTTTTTCAGAAGCCTCAAGTTTATTTTGCATGATAGAATATTTATCTTTTTAAGTTTTTAATAAAGGTAAAGGAATCCTTTAGTGAGGTTGGTAAAGTAGACGTATTTCTGTGCAAGGGTTTCTTAATAATTATTCTGGATAATTTTATTTTGCTAACGTTAATTCGCGCTACGGCTGGCACAAGCACCAATTGATCTAGCTGGCCGCGAGCATAGTCGTAGCACGCGTGGTTGCCTCCGTCAGCGTTCTAGTTAGCTACGCCTCTGCTCAGCTTGTGTCGGCAGTTGCGCGCTGCCCGCTTCGAACTACGCTCGCCGCCACCGGACGAAAATGTGTCTCGCGCCCACTGTGTGCTGAAGTTTAGTGTCTGTGTTCGTGTTCTCATTTCGTACATACTAATAAAATTTACCAGTACCTGCCAGTACCTGAAATTTAGACAATGATGGCACCCGAAACAGTGGTAACCGTGGATCACAACAAGCCCAATGCGCCGCCGCAGCAGCAGCAACAGCAACAGGGAAATGCGCTTGAATGGCTCAAATTCAACATCGACTACTTCAAAACTCCTCCAGGCCTACTCAAAGTTGTCGAATTGGTAAGTAACCTACTTTAGACTCGTATATTTTGTGCGATAAGTTTATTAATGCATTAGCTTACAATTTTCCCTCAAATTTGCTTTAGTCGTCGGCAAGTCCTTGGTAAACCTGTTTTATAGTTTGTGTTGTCTACGTCTGTGACATTCTTACTTTTACGTTACGTTACTTTGAATTGGCCTCTCTAGCCACTAGTTTCAAATGAAGAGGTATCATCTACTAACTTTAAGTTCAATAGGTCATTATAAGACGGATTCAGAGAGCCTTTTAAAAAAAACATTACTTAAGTAGGTATTACCTACCTACGTAGTTGTTTGCCGACGTCTGGAATGCTGGTTGAGTTGTACAGTCTTGTGATATAATCAATAATCGTCGAATTAATTAAGTACAATTAGTATTCACGTATATGCTTGCATTTGCTTAATTGAGATGTCATAATAATTAATCGAGGTCATATCTATTAACAAACTATTACTTTAGCACCTAGCTAATTATTTTTTCCAGGTAAACATAATTTTATTTACTTAGCAGCCACCTACTTACTTGCTACGTCTTTACTGTGTTTGGATGAACCTTGAAAACAATTGACGTGAGTTACAGAAATTGGTAAAGTCACGTACGTACTACTTACGTTTCTACTTACTTTGGTTTCTTTAACCACACAGGAAAGCTTATCCATAGGCTTGTCAGGCCATAACTGGTGCACAATGAACCATTCATATCAATTAAGCGTATATCCTTAGTATAGGTACACAAAAGATTAACATTTTGTTACTTTATGCAACTAAAGGCGTATCTTCTACCTAGGTATATCTATAGGTAATAAAGCGCTACCTTCTATACTACGAGTACCTACTCCTTAAGACCTTAATTATCGTTGTGGATTTAAATAGCTAGCTAGCCTAGATCTGTTAATGTCCGATGTCTTAGTTAGTATTAGTAAATTAAATGAATGGGCAAAAATGACACAAATAGCGAGATCTCAGTTATAAATTATATTGGGACAGTCATAAGTTCAAATAAGGCGTGTTCTGATCGCCTACGTGTGCTGATATCATCCAGCGTTTACCTGGGACCGCAGGCCTTGTATAACGCTAAGATATTACAATTGGAAGTACACAGGTACCACCTAGGTACTATATACTTTAGTAGGTGGGAAATTAAACGCTATTTGCATATTCATTAGCCACCATTACCGCTTCAAACTGAGTGACGTCTTCATAGTCATCATAAGCGCAACCGCAGACAATTCAAAATCATTTGATTTGATTTTTAACTAAAATTAACTAAATAAACTGCATTGGTTTATTTGGATTAGGTATGCTTAATAAGCTTAAAAACTGATACTCCTTTTGCAGTTAATTACTTCCAAATTATTTGTGTTCGTTAAAATTTCCATTACCTTAATAATACTCCTTGTCACATACCTACATAATGGAAACAAAACGGTTTGGTAATCGAACTTACAATGCAAAAACCATTAGACTAAAATAGAGTAGTACACAATTGTACCAATACGTTCGTTACACAGTTGAACACGCATTTTAAATACTCGGTGAAGCGTTAGAGCAAGCCTTTGGTTAACTTGAATGCATTTTCAGTTATTTAAACAAATGAAGCATACAAACATGCCTGGTAACCATTGTATTTGCAAACCGATTATTTTATGTACCTAATCGTATTTCAAAATAAAGTAGGAAATTATAACCTCATGATGATTTTGTAAAGAACTTAGGTACAATAAAAGCATAGCTGGGCACCGTTAATCAAATAGTTAACTTCGTTAATCGTTAAACCGTTAATAAAAAAATTAACTTCGTTAAACGTTAAAACGTTACATTTTGCAAGATTTAACGCAAGTTAACGTTAATCGTTAATCCTTTAACACAAGATAATAAAACGAAAAAAATAATTGTATGCAAATTGCAAAGTTCAAATAATTTCGAAAGCTTGTATCGCGCATGGAATTTATTCCTCTTTTATGTTTGCGCTACAAGCTTTCGAAATTATTTGAACCTCGCATAAGTACAATTATTTTTTTCGTTTTAGTACAACTGCATTTCAGAATAAAAGCTTGTTTTAAAAAAGTTTTTTAATTATTATAATTTTATTTTAAACTTTTTAGTAGTATCTCAATCTCAGAGCCTTGGTTCAATTACAATACAATTTAGCACTAAAGTGCTCGAAAAGACAAATCCAGCAAACCCAAACTCGATAAGTTTCCACCGTTTCGTTTAGGAATTCCTATGGCCACCTCCTGACTCCATCATTAGGACCCTGGACATCATCTAGTACGAAAGTGCTCGAAAAGACAAATACAACGATCCCAAATTCGATGCGATGCCGCCGTTTCATTTAGGAGTTCCTATGGCCACCTCAAGACTCCATCATCAGACCAGTTCAATGGTACCATAACATTGCATTGTCATCGTACTTACATAAGTATACCAAATTTCAGCTCAATCGGTTGAAGAAAACTGGTCTTAAATTCAGTTGCAAGAGTTGTCACACACATACTAACAAGTGTCGTTATCGTTAGTGATCGGGTGGAAGCCCAAACGAACTTGTCAGAACGCGTTTTACTAGCGTTTTTCAGCGTGCCTGCTGTATCTTTTTGGTAAATAGTAGGTACTGGATTAACGATTAACGGACTTAGAATAATTTAACGGAAGTTAACGAGTCCGTTAACATTTTTTAAAGTTAACTTAAAAGTTAATCCGTTAAAAGAAATGTTAACTTCGTTAATTAACGATTAACGGATTAACGAGTTAATGCCCAGCTATGAATAAAAGTAACTTTATCGTATAATTAGACGTCGCTGTAAAGGTCAATAGCTGGTTTAGGTACAGTTAAATATTCGGTTAATTACAAAAAAAGCCATGGCGTGAGACTGAAAGCGTTGACCCATGAACTTTTAAGTCAATGACCAAGTTGCTACTATTATTCATCATTATTAACAGTGGTCCTGGAAATATTCTAATTATTTTTTATTTCTTTCATTGTTTTGACCACATAAACGCACGCTGGAATTTTCAATTCTTGCCAGGGAGAGTGAAAACTTTAAATGCGCCTTTCTTGACCTACGTAGAAGTAGATTATTATGAAGATATTGTTTATGTATGACTTGTGCATGACAAAAAGCTTAGTTAAATATGGAGCTCTTTTCAACGAGATTTTACAAGCTGTTAGCGGTAAAAGCTAGTAAACCTTTGCATTGCCTTGAAAAGGAAAATATGCTGCACAAATCACAGATAACCCGGGAAATCCAGGCCAATGACGATAACGATAAACTAATGCTTTTAAATGCTTTACATGCAGTTATTACCAACTATGGAGTATGGAGCATAATAATAATTAATAACCCTATTACAAACTCTGTCAGTTATGAAAAATAGAGAAAATTTTATCTAACTCTAGGAACATTCCAAAAAGAACGTAAGCTTGCTAGTTTGCAAGTTTACGTCGCCTCATTGCGGCGGTGTTTAGAGAGGTGAAGTAAAAACTTTCGAGGTTGCTTAACCATGTATGTACGGGGCAACGAACATGCGTCGGCAAAGTGCGACCATATTAACGAGCTATTAAAATTTTGCATTCGTAACTTTTATTTGAGAGCGACGCGGGTGAAAGCTGGCATCGAAATGAAAGTAGTTCTGTCTACATGTGGTTCTGCATCGCCGTAAGCCGTAAGTGGCCAGCGCCTGCGCCTGCCTATGGAGTCGGAGTGGTGTCGTCTACCTGTCTTAAGCCGGTACTTGTACCGGCTTAAGACAAGACCGGCTCAAGCTTGCTTGTAGTTTTCTTTTCATTTCACTCGCTCGATTCTTGGCAAACTTACGAGTATGAGAATAGAATACACAACTAAGTATGTATTACTTAACTTTCACTAATGTACGCGTAAGGCCTAAATTTGAGTAGACATTAATTTCAAATTTTTCGTGTGAAAAGCTAGTTCTCTAATGGTTTTCATTTGTAACAAAGCACCCAAATAAAAATATATCTATTCAATTAGCGAATCATCTTTATTTGCAACAGATTTTAGTTTATGTAGAGACATCTCAAACGCACACATTTTATTTCTAGCATTCAAATTCCAAAATACGAGTAAGCTAAAATTGTCATACTATTCTCTCCCACTAAGGAAGTTGTCGACTCTATCATGCTCAACATTTACCTATTTATTGGTGCTTATTACTTGTAAATTGGTTAATTAGCTATATCACGCGAGGTAGCAAAGTCATTTGTGAATTTAAAGAAGATTTCCGAGGGAATACATATGAGATGCCATATAAAATAGGTGGTTAGGTAGGTACTTGAAACTCGTTGCAAAACAGAGCGTATCTTGCGAGAACTCAATTTATTAGTCATTGTTTCTTACGTGTTTTCATTATGATGTCAGTACTGTCGTGAGATAAAAAATTTAAATACTGTAAGTATAGTACCTAGGTAGAGTATTTAATAAGTACTACTAAGCAGTAAGTATTTTTATTTGAGTAACGATTCATTGGCAAATATCGCCAGAACTCTCCTTTTTTACTGAAAACGTTTTTATGTATAGGTACATTGATCTAAAGAAAAAGAATAAGTAATTACTTAAATAGTCAATGGCGGCATGCGAGTACAATATAAGCTCAAGGACTGTCACAGTTGATTAGCATAAAACGTAAGTACGAGTATAAATAGTGATCTGTGTAGCTGCTGTTATACCTACCTATTGTGTTTGCTAATATCACGCAACTGGCCACGCCAGCTTGAGAAACTCAGTTTAATTTACTTAAACACATTTTTTTATAAGCTATGAAGTTTAAGATGTATGAAACGGGTTTAATCTTTCGTTATGTCACACTTTTAATCGCATTTACTACAGTTTATATTTATCTGACGCCACGGCGGCAGTCGCTATTTTCGGAAGATGCTCATCTCTTGTTCTCTTTATTTACCTAGTCGAACGTGGCTCGTGTATTGTGTGGGGTAAAAACAGCTACCTGGACATTCTATTCCGAAC